CCAGCTGCGCGGTCCATTCCATGCAGTTCCATTCCAGCCGAGCCAGTGTTACGGCCAGCCTTGCTTATGTCTGACACACCCCCTTAGCTTAGATCGCGATCCAAGCTAGATTGTGTACTGGCGCTAATTACAGCGTCTCGCAGGGTAACTACCCTAGCGCCTCTTAGAGCCTGTTTAGTGATAGTTCTTAATAATTTAGCCTCTCTGTTTACTCTACAAGGTTAAGGTAATTAAGAAAGGCGCCCTATTTGTTCTTAGGAAGTGCCTTAGTAAGGCTATTAGCAGGCATGCTAGTAGAGGGGATATACTTAACTAAGATTGTTCCTTGTTAGACCTCTTACTGCAGCTAGTAGTTATAGATATCTACGTGTTAGAGCTTTGTTTAAAGCTTTAATGTCTCCTTAGTTACTAGGCTAATTATCTAAGTGTTGTTATAGTGTATTGTAATAGTCTTTTATAGTAGATCTACTTAGAGCTCCCTAATTAGCCTTAAGATAAAGATAGCTTCCTTTGCTACCTGTGATAGAGCTAGAAGCTCTGCCTTAGTTGTAGAGGTAGTAACAGTGTCTTGTTTGCTTGCTTTCTATGCAATCAGGCCTCTAAATAGTTAAATAGTGTAGCCTTGTGAGCTCTTACAGTCAGAGGTGTTGTTAGCAAACAACGCATCGCTCGCAACCTTAAGGTGGAGGCCTCTGCCTTAGCGCAGGGCTAGGTTCTGCGTGCTTATAAGGTAGAGCAGCACTTAATCAGCTGCTGCGTGATGCGCTGGTCCTAGATTCAGCATGTAGCGTGCTAGCCTAGAGGTTGCAAACGCTATATCTAGACGCGTTGTAACTGCTGTAAATAGCAATAAGCTAACCTTGCGCTAGTACTTGTTAATTTCTACTAGTATATCTAGGCCTGTTTGTAGTTCTAGCTTAATAGAGGACATTAGAGTATTATATTAAGTGTCTTTCTTATTAATTAATTAACTAATCTTCTTAATATAGGCAGCCTGTAAGAGGAGGAGTGTGTAGTTTCTCCTGTCCTAAGTAATTTCTACTCCTAGGAACTACTGTAAGTCTTCTCCCCCTATAAGGGTGTATTTTGTCTATAGCTCCTGTATAATTAAGTAAGCTAGGTGTTCTTTATTCTTAGGGTATCTAAAAATAATATTATTAATATAGAAGAAGATAAATACTCTGTCCTTTATTATGCAGCAAGGCTTGTGAGGTACTGCCTGTAGGCCTAGTTAAAGGAGGGTGTTAGTGAATTCCTTCTACTATAGCAGAGGTAAGATGCGCAGTCTATACAGGGCCTTGTTTAGTGTCAGATTTAAAGGGTTCTTGCTAATTGTTGTGTTTGATCGATTGAACGATCGATCTATGAACAGGTGGCTTTTATCCCCCGCTCTTGTGCGACCAGCTGCGCGGTCCATTCCATGCAGTTCCATTCCAGCCGAGCCAGTGTTACGGCCAGCCTTGCTTATGTCTGACATTTAGTTTCAGAGCTGTATTTGGCTTCCTGTGGCTGTACGGCATTCTTATGTAGACCTCTTAATTAATTGTTGCATGCACGAAAGCGTTGGTGACGTCGTACTGCTTGAGCTCAAGGTCACGATCTGCAGCAATCGCCATCATTAATCTAAATAACTAGCTAGCAAGCGTTGCAGTGTAGGTGTCCTGTGCTAATACATCGCGCTGCTAGTCTCCTTAGACTACTAGGCGCGCCTTGCATTTCTGCAATCTGTATTGCTAGTCAAGCTTGTACGTGTATACTTACATGCAGTTAAGGATCTAATGCCCTTTTTATCTAATCTGCTTAAGTAGTGCTTCTAACTATAAATTTATCTTGTAGTAGCTTTAGAGGTGCTCCTGCTTAGCTTTCTTCTACTAATTACTTAATAGGTAACTTTCTATCTCCTTATGTAATAAAGGAGGTAGTAGCAGCTAGCTTTTATATAAGGTAGTTCCTTTTACTATTAGCCTTCTAAGCTAAGCCTTGTTAATAATCTTGTCTTAGTAGATACTAATATTTCCTACTTAGGTGCCTGCTATAAAGGCTGCTTGCTAAGGGATTATTCTTAAATAGCTGTGTGTAGGGTATGTTAGCTTTCTAGGCCTACCTTTAGCTAGAAAAGCTGCTAGTAGTAGAGTTAGAGGTAGAGATAGATAGATCTCTACAATCTTTCTTCCTTAGTAATATCTAGGTAGTTCTAAATCTAGTAATAGATTAGATAGTTATATAGTGTTAGTAGCTGTATTGTCCTTATAGAATAACTTAGCCTCTAGATAGGTAGTTAGACTTAGTAGTTCTAGCGTCCTTATAAGGGTGGCAATTTCTTTAAGGGTAGTATGTATAAGGTTGTTATATAGGTCCTTAGTCTTACTATTAAACACTATTTACTTATTAAAGGTAATATTATATATACTAATTACCCTAGCTAGTAATAGTATCTAGATACAATAGATGTTAGGGGATATATATCTAATAAGATACCTAATCTATACTTTTAGATCTAAGTGTTAGAGGTGTGATTTTCTATAGTGTGTGTTATTAGATATTACAAAGGCTTTGCACCTATATACCTTAAGATAACTAAGGTTTAGTTTATAGAGTAAGGTAATTCTACTATTACTAAAAGTAGTATGTGTAAAGAAGATCTTATAGGGAGTCTTCTAGTTATTACTATAGTTTAGCGTTCTGTTGTATAGGTATACTGCTGCTCTTATAACTTCTAGCCACAGTTCCTAGGAGAGGTTAGCATCTAGCCTTATTGCTTGTGCTTTCTCCTTGTTCACACCCCCTAAGTATTTAGCTCCACTGTTCTAGGCTTGTGTGTCTAGTGCTAAAGGCTTAATAATAATTCCTTTAGTTATAAGCTAGTTCTATACCTAAGGCTTAACTATTATAATCTTATTATCTAATTTAATAACCTTTATAGTAATATTAAAATAGTTCTTTAGAAAGAGAATAAAGTTAGCTAGTTTTGTAATAATTAAACTACTATGCAATTGTCTATAAAGTAGATATCCTACTAGAGGCCTAAGAGTCTGTCTATAACAAGTATTTACAACTTCTCCTTAGTAATAGATTATACCTTATATAAGTAGAAGTTAATAGCTAATCTCTCTCCTAGTCCTTTAGTGTTGTTGTTGCGTGGTGCACGTTGGATCTACCACTTGGCCTTGGCCTTGCCGCATGCGTTGCAATCGGCTGTAGTGATGCCTTTGATGCGCACCCCCTCAGCCTGTTGTACGAGGTGTTCGATTGCTGCAGGGCCTGCGTGGCCGAGCCTCTTGTGCCAGGTGACTGTAGTAGAGGCTCTCTGCGTCGCTCGTGCTGTCCTTGAGCTGGTGTGCGTGTAGAAGGTAGCGTGCGCAGGTAGATTGTATTCCAGGACCTATTAGCCATGGATTTCAGCGACCTCAGCGATGATCAATCTATCTAATTTTCTAAGGGTGGTAGGCTCTAGCTAGGTGTCCTACTAGATACTAGACTGCCTAAGCAGGTGGAAGGAGACAAGGTTGCAGAGTAGATTAGGATAGATGGCCATGTCCTGCAGTGTTATCCTTGTTGTCTGTCCTTCACTGCTTAAGTGCAGGGTAATTAAGCTATATCCTATTACCTACACCTTTGTATTTCCTGCCTA